TCAAAGGGTCCACATATATCGATGTGTACAATTTCAAGAAGCTGACTACTTGTTGATCCTTTCTTCTTTCTTGTTATGTTCGGTTTGCTTTCCTTTAATGCAATCCACACACAACTCAATATCGGTAAAATCTAGATCCAAAATAATCTTATCTTTCACCAACCTTTGCATTCTTTCTTTGAATACATGACACAAACATTTATGCTACAAGAAAGTAGAGTTCTCATTTGCTACACCATGTTTAATTCCAATGTTTTTATGCACACACATTAAAGATGCAGAAAAATCAACATCGAGTTTCAGTTTATATACGCCATCCATAAGATTTCCAAAACCAATAACGGAATCATATATATTAATCAAACTGAAACATCCATGTCCAAACTTAAAGGAAAACCTAAGAACTATAGAAAGAAAATTAAGTTTCTAGAAAATGATGGTACATAGAGAGTTTGCAAAAGATCTAGGTGGTTCCCAGAATAAAACAATACGATAAGTCTCTATGCCTTCAATTGGGGCCTTCATATTTCCCCATGAACAAGAAGTTCTCATTTGGGTTTATTGTTTGAATTGTAAAAAAAACTCTGCATCACATTAGAAACATGAGTTGTAGCACCAGAATCCAAGCACCAAGTATTTGAAGGAACTTCAGACAAGTTTGATTCGAAACATATAATGATATCAGAAATACCTTTCTTTTCAAACCAAGACTTGTGTTTCAGGCAATCTTTCTGCATGTGTCCTTCTTTCTTACAGAAGTAACATATATTTACTCGATTTTCCTTCTTTCCATCGTTACTGAACTGTGAAATTTTAGCAGATCTTTTCTTCTTAAACTTGTTGGATTTCGGTTTGAGAACATTATTAGCTCCATGACCCACAAGGTTGACCGTGTGAACTCCTTGTGCCTTAAGCCTTTTCTCCTTCTGAACAGGTTACTGGTCAATTCTTTACCATCCCACTTATCCTTAATAGTGTTATAGTTAATTTGAAAGACTCATATTCAGGAGGGAACGAGTTAAGCATAAATTGCACCACAAATTAGTCATCCACAGTCATGCCCAGGGACTTAAGCTTTGCTGCAAGATTGGTCATGTCAATAACATGTTCTTGCATACTTCGCGACCCATCATACTTTTTGGTCGTGAGTTCAGCCATAAATGTTCCTGCCAATGACTTATCCGTTGAACGGAAACGCTCTTCCACAAGCAAAAGGTATGCTTTCGCATCCACATTATCGGGAAGAGTTGACTTAATGCTGTTGGCAATCGTCATTCGCATGAAGCTCAAACATAATTTGTTAGACATGTCCCAAGCCTTACGGTTTGATTTCTCAGCCTCACTACTTTAATCAGTATGTTAGTGGGCTTTTCTTCAAGTAGTGCCAAGCCAATATACAAAATACCTGAATGGAATAAATTGATTTGTTAACGCCATTAAGAGAATTCAAACCATTGAAGACAGTAACATAAGAAGCTTGCGAATGAAGAGAGGTATCTGCACATAAATGAACGCTCACTTAATTAATAAATCCAGAAAATATATTCATAACATATATTGCAGGTCTCCTTTGGGTAAACACAACAAAATATATCATTATCATAAGTGAATGTCATTTAACACTTAATGAAAAATTAAATAAACTCCATCAAACATACATAGTATCTGAGTATATCAGTATATCGACATACGCTCGATAAAAGAATATTATATTTCTCCTTAATGTTTATTAGTTAAAGAACATTGATTTATCTTTGGGTAAACCCATAATTTCTAATAACCAATAAACTCTATATCGTGAATAGTGAAATTCTTAAACGAACACAAAATATATGACCAAACAATAAAAAATCAATTCGGCTACTTTGGTGACTAACAAATTGATTTCTTTTTAATGTCATGTAATAATCAATTGTAACAATAATATTATATGACTAGATATTAAAAATTAACTAGGCCACTTTGGTGACTAACGAATAAATTTTCTTTTAATGTCATATAATAAGCAATTATAACGATAAATTACATGACCGAATATTGAAAATTAATTAGACCACTTTAGTGACTAACAAATGTAATGTAATAAAAATAAGCTTTGAAAATTTCAGCATGGACTTTAAATCGTTTAAGTCTTGATCATCATCATAAGGTCCACTAGTAGAAGCAAAATGGACTAAAGCATTCATATATAATGGTCATCATAATTTCAATTGCATAAATTAACGTCCAATCAACATACTGGGTCATCAATTATATTTGCAGATAAACAAAGATGAAAATAAAATTTCACCCATTTCAGTTCATGATACGTGGGCCATGCATTTTGGATGCTATTTTGATGCGGCAATTAACTTATTGTCTTAACCTTTGGGCCAGTGATAAAAAAAGCAGATGACTTTGATGCGACATCATAGGATATTCGCAATTTATCTAGGGTAAATTACTTTTTTTCCACTTCACCATATAAATCTTTTTTTTTTAATAAATCGTCATATGAACTATATGGGTTTATCAATATGCCCCGTAAACCGGATGTAAAAGTAATTTTGACTGAAAAAAGTTGTTTTTTAATGGCATTTTAGTAATTTCACATATTTTTCAGAAAATAAAAAAAATGAATAAGTTGGTTTCAAAAATAAAAATAAGAAATAAAAAATAAAATGAGAAATGAGGCTCTTTTCAAAATGCCTTGGCCAGAAATACCTGCTACGCCACCGGAGCTCCCGCCGGCCTGCACCGTCGCCGGCCCCACCACCGCCTCATGTTCGCAGTGGAAACCGATGCATGCGACGACAGTTGAGGGCACATCACGTCGAGCTCATTGTGGGTACGTGGCGGGCCTCGTACGAGAGTTGAGGGCACATCACGTCGAGCTCATTGCCACGGCGGCCAACATTTTGATGTATATTGTGTATATGTTCCATCGTTGTATATTTTCCAGACTTATATGTTTTCTATGTATTTTGTGTATATGTTCTATATATATTATATGTATTTTCGGACTTATATATCTTTTGTATATCTTGTGTATATGTTCTTTATATATTATGTATAAACGCTATATATACCGATTTGAGATTGAATGATTTTTTTCAAAATCTGATCTTTTCCTTTTTAAAAAAAAAAAAAAAACATAACGTGTATATAGCAGCAAAATTCTGGTTTGTCTTTACTTCCCTTTTTTTTCTTAAAAACAAGAAGCTAATGGCGTGATTATAGGGTGTCTGTTATTTTGGTAACTTAATCTTATTATTCACCCATATTAAATGCATTTATTTAGGTACATATGCAAATAAGATCATTCTCTTGACATATATGATTGCAATTTTTTTAGTATCTTTTGGTGTGTAAAAAAATTCGCCTTTAATTTTCACTTTGGGATTTGGTTTGCACACCCAACACTACATAGTAGACATGACTAATATATATAAGGGGACTTTAGATCTGGTACGTCAATCAAATATCCAGATTAATGGCTCAAATTTGTTTGACCATTAAATAAAGACTTACTCCAATAATATATATTATAATTAATTAATTGTGAGTCCAATACTATCGGACTGCACCTCCATATTTATCCATCATAAAGAATTGAACCAAGGTCCTTAATCGGACTTCTAACCGAGATAATTTAACTGGCTATTTCACAATGTATTTTTAATTGCTAGTTAAATATAAAAAAAATAAATAAATAAATAAATAAAAACGACACAGCTCATTGGTGTTCCCCTCTGGCCTATAAAACCACACTCATCCTTTCAATAATAATACAATTATTACAGATTTCACTTTCACATATAAATTTAAATAATATGATGTTATCCAAAGATGATGCTCGCACCGTAATTGGTATTTTGGGTAAGTTTTCATTTTATATATATATATATTTCATCACTCAAAAATTATATAAAGTATTTGCTTATCAATAGATAAATAAAATGAAAGAGGTTGTCTAGATGAATATATGATATATACGTCAATTTTTTTTTATATTTTTTATTTTTTAGAAAGACATGATTATATAATATAAATACAAAAATTGGGATTTTTTTTATGCATATATGATCAATATTTAGGTGAAATTTAATTTCAATTTTAATTATTAGTTGCTCACAGTCCAAATAAACTAATTGATGATCAATTTCATTTTTTCCATACTTCAGGAAACATCATTTCACTCGTCTTGTTTTTGTCCCCAGTGTAAGCATATATAATTTTTTAGCAATTCAATTTTTATTATTATTATTTTTTTTTTTTTGGTACAATTTATATTATTATTTTTTTTCTGATATATAGCTAAGACTCTAATTTTCCAAAAATAGAAAAACATTTCACACCATATGGAAGAGAAAATCAGTTGAACAGTACTCTCCAGTCCCCTATATGGCCACATTGGCTAATTGTGGCCTTTGGGCAATATATGGAATGCCTATGGTACACCCTCACAGCATCCTAGTCGTGACCATTAACGGGTTAGGGTTTTTGATCGAGATTACATTCTTGTCGCTATTTCTCATATTTTCCGACTTGAAAAAACGACTGAGAGTGGTGATAGTCGTGGTGGTCGTCTGCGTGTGCCTAGCGGTTTTGGCCTTGCTTGTCCTGATCTTGGCCCGAACCACCCGACTCCGATCGAACGTCGTTGGTAGCATTGCCACGGCGGCCAACATTTTGATGTATGCTTCGCCCTTATCGGTTATGGTACGTGTATTAATTTGTACTTTGTGTTTCGAATTTTATGCCGGAAAAATAATATCGATTTGAATGTAATTAATTGATTGCAGAAATTGGTGATCACCACAAGAAGTGTGGAGTATATGCCATTTTTGCTTTCCCTTTTTACACTCCTCAATGCAATTTGCTGGACTTCTTATGCTCTTATCAAATTCGATCTCTTCCTCATGGTACACAATATTTTCATATTTAATATATATTTTTTTTTTAATATAATTGAAGATTAAAATTCATGTATAAAGCCCAATTATATATGTGAGTTGCAGATCCCTAATGCAATGGGAGCTTTTTTCGGCGTGGCCCAATTAATACTATATGCTGTATTCTACAAATCGACCAAGCAAATCATGGCCTCAAAAAAGGCCCAAACACAAGTGAGCTTGACAGAAATCAGGACAGAAAGCAAATAGCTGAAGCGGCGTGTTATGACCAGCTAGCTCTCATTCATAAATAAGGCCCATTAAGAGATGTTGCCCATCTAAATTATGATTAAGTCCAGGACCCATCATAATTTTCGTATCTATCACTGTAACTAGTACAGTACCCGTGCGATGCACGGAGGCATTATTATTTCTATGCTTTTTAAAATGCAATTTTGTCTTCAAATTGTATAATAAAAGAATGATCATGACATTAATAATTATAAAAAGAAATAACATTTATATATTATTGAGCACTTCATTAAGCACACATGGTGATCATCCCTTCACTTCCTTCATTTGAATAGGTAAAATCTCAACAACCAATCCAATTATATTAACACAGTTAATTTTTTTTTAAAAAAAAAATTATAATTCAAACTAATTTGAATAATTTTAATCACGATACAATACACAAATTGAACGAAATGACTTACTGAATAAGATAGATTCATCAGCATTATCGATGTCAAACAAAGTGAAAAAGCTCCTAAAGTCGAAGCGATAGGTGAAAAAATCAGCAGTATACTTATAATGCTTAGTTTGACCATAAATGATGTTTATGTATTTACTATATTTGTCAATAGTTGACTTGTACATACCAATGTCACCTGATAGTTTTATTATAGTATAAACCACACCTTCTTCAAATCCGTCGACAAAATTAGCAATATTGAGTAGACGAATTATGCCAGAAATACGATCACCCTACAAATCACAAACTTGTGTAAGAACAATTATTACAAATATAATACGAAAATAAGATAGCAATTTTAATACACAAACCTCTTGATCATGTAATATGATTGTTGTTATAAAGAATTTAACATCTATAGTCCCAGGGGTTAAGAAAATTGAAAGTTGTAAAGTAATATATTTTTTATTATATTGAAATCGCGTTTAAGTACAAGAAGTCATTTTTTTACGGAACCGAGTTGTTTCATATGTGTGTTCAATGCCCCCTTTATTCAATCCTAGTACTGAAATAAATATTGTTATTTATAGCAATCACAGGCTCGTTCTTCAAGATTGGTTCGACAACATTAAATACGATTTAAGGGTTGGGATCTGCTAGTTTGCGGGTCCCACAAGCAATGATGAAAGTGTCGACAGCTGATTAACAGGCGTCCCATTCGTGTTTTATTCCCCGGCCTGATCTCGGCCCCACATGAAAGTCGGTTCTCTTCCCATTGGAGAGGTCGGTTCTCCTTCCGGTTCACGTCGAGTTCTTCCAAATAGGGTTCTCATCCCATTCATTTGCATACAGTTGGGTCCTATCCGGGTTTTATTCTCTCTCTTTTATTGCTTTTATAATAATTTCAATTAATACAAGAATATCACAATTTGATTCACACTCCTCGTGGATCGGCCCTTGCTCCCCAGTACTACTAGTTAGTAGAAGTTGGTTAAAAAAAATATAAATTTTAATTTGCACGGTCAAAACACTCCACCTCGGACCTCCCAAAGAATGAAACGTGGCTGCAACACATCCCAAAGAAGCTCCAGAGGCTCGCCCAACGCTGCTACAAACGTCGGTATAAACGATTGTCCTCCACGCCATCCAAGCAACCAGAGAAACAGCGAGACCTGTTCCGGAAGAAGGGCACTACTTCTCCGGCTAACACCCCACCTCTGAGCGGCGCCCCTCCAAGAAACGAGCAACGAGGCAGAAGAACGTCGCGTCGGCAACCTCGAACGGTCGGCGGACAACCAGCTGAACCACCACTCGAAGCACCCTCCCGGAAGTACCTGTAACACCCTACTTTGATTTTAAAGAAATTCCCAAAAACCAGTATAAATTTTTCGAACTCATTTTCGAAAACATGGGCGTTATTCAACCTTTAACATCAACCAAGTTATATCTGGTTGTTCACATGGTTTTCATTAACCTTTGAACTTCAATTCCACATGATTATTAGCTAAACAGTATAGCATGCATAATCGAAAACACATGACATTCAATAAATAACTCCAGTTCGAATATCATAACAACGGGTCCAAAAATCCCAAAACGGACAAGTTCGAAAACAGTTCAACACGTCTCAAGAACACACTTTATTCATAATGGAAGCGCAATCATAAACACATAAATCATGAACAACCCACTCGTCTTTCCCCCGTCATCCGGCACCTGCTTAACCTGCATCCGTGAAGAGCAGGTGGGAGTGAACACAAAATGAACGTAGTGCTCACTACTATGCACATAAATAACACATGTCAATTGGTATGGTCACAGCATGAATATAAGATAATCACATCATGTCTCATCACCTATCAAAATCACAACAACCACATTACTCTTGTGCACATCTATCGCTAGCCGCAAAACGGGGATTCATTACCCGAAGGTGGGAGTACATGCCACGCTACGGACACGGCCTTCATATGGGCTTACGTACCTCGCAAGGGCACGACCATATCAGGACTTAAGGAGATTTGTCTCACAAGGGCAACCGTATTACATCGACGGGGACAACCGTACCGACGGCCATAACAGCTCACATCGATAGGCTACATATTTCATATTCATACATAGATCATACCCACAAGTATAAACATTCATCATTCATGGCATAGACAATTTTAGATTAGAACCCACCTGGTACAACAAAGGAAAATGGCACACAATCGGGAGTAGGCAGTGAGCACGGCTCGTCAAACACCTACAACAATTATATACTAAGATCAACACCTACTTGACCTTAGAGAACAATCACAAGCATACATTGGTCGAACTTGATTCAACCAAGTAGTTCGTGAAGTTCCGTAACACTTAGACTTGACCAAAAATGCATATAAACACCACACATAGACTTAGCACGCAAAACAAAGTCAAACAGGTCAAAGGCACACACAAAGGTTCGGGAAAAACACACGAAAAACTTGGAACGGGCCCCGGGCTACTTGCTGGCCTGGGCAGGGCACGGCTGGGCGCAGTCGGGGCACTGCGGGGCGCTAGGCGCGGTGCTATGCTCTGGGGCGCTGGCGTGCGCGCTGGCAGCAGCGCACCAGGCCCGACAGACAGGCAGTAATCCAAATGGACCTGACCGTTTTTAAAATTCACTTGACCGATTGACTTTAAAGTTTTACACATAGAAATAGACTCACAAAGACACGTTTTCACCAAGTTTTATACTCAAGACCTCAGTTTAACCTGAGCAACCAATTTTTACGAAAAAACGATGCAAATATGAGTTTACAAGTTCTCCGGGAAATCCTTGGAATTTTTAAATAACATTAGGACACAAGACATATAACACTAGGATATTGTCACTCACCAAAAATCACATCAAAATACCAAGGATACAAATTTTAATGATTTTTCGAAGTTTCTGCCCAGAATTTCAAATCGACATTTGACATAGGTACAGATATTATTTCGACATGAAACTTTTACACCACATAGCATACCAAAATAAGGTCATACAATTTAAATTTCACAGCAATCGGACGAACACACGATTTATGATGATTTTTGTAAAAATTAGCAGCAACTCCCGATTTAAAAATACATATATGACCAAATACTCAACAAAAACGTCTAAGGCCTTCACCATGAGGCCAAAGACTCATAAATGTTCCATAGTCCACAGCCCTAACACGATTTTAACGAGGGTTCATCAAACATGCATAACAATGTGGTTCAGAGGCTTATTTCCTCGAAAACAATAGAGCTCTAGATGACCGAGCACCCTTACTTATTTTAAGAAACTGTTTTAACCCCATATTACTTATGATTTATAAGAATTTTTAAGCACAAGAAATCGGCCTAAACATGCATGCAACAAAAAGTACGATTTTAAGGCTTTAAGCTTCAAAAATCCGATTTTCTCATTCTACCCGAGAAAAACTTGATTTCTCTTCATGATAAATCTTAAAATATCATGTTATAGCTAGGATAAAAAGATAGCATGATCTAACCTTCACCGAAGTCGAAAATGAGACTCAAGCCCTTAACTCGGGTCTCCTCGGGTCGCTATAGGCCGTGACTTGACTCGGCGGCCTTTGGTTGGGAATGATGGCTTCTCTAAACTCCTTATACTCCCAGAGATGATATAAACTTGGCTTGGTGTAGCAAAACTTGGTTAGAACAAGAGATAGCTCGGTGCTTGCTTCTCTTTGCACTAGCAAGGCTATACTCTTATCTCTCGGCTATCTCTCCTATTTCTCTCTCTAAATTCGAAAAAACTAAGTGTCCAACACTTATTCTCAGCTGAGGAAGTGAGGCTTATGAGGAGGTCATGGGCGGAGAAACCTATGCAAGCAAATGAGGACAAATTCCCTTTCCAAAGCTCATGGGACTTTGGGGGGCCTTGGGGAAAGACTTGGCTGGTCTTGGCAGAGGTTTTTGGCTGCATTTGGAAGGAATCTTGATCTGGTACAGCAGCACTAAGGACAAGGGGACAAGACTTAAACATGTGCATTAAAATAATGCATGCACATGCACCCACTTTGGCTAAGGACAAATTGACTTTGACTTGGATTACCCTAGGGTCAATTGGGCTGAAAAGACTCCTAAATAAGT